TGATACCAAACTTAGCGTGGACACTGGATCAATATAGTCCACTGCAGTCCAGAAGCCCTAAGCTCAAGCGATCCACACCCGCAGCAGCTTGGATAACAGGCACACGCCACTGAACACAGCGAGAGTTGACAGAATCTGAGCTGTGAAGAATCTGATCATCACAGCGACCTCTAGTGGTCGAAAACTGACTACAGGACAAAGCAGTGAATGTTGTGTGTATATTTATAATTTCACGATGATCAGTTTCTTTCTTTTTGATATCTTTTTATAAATTTCTTGTTCATTTATTTCATTGTTTCAATAAAATGAGAAATCTTATAGATCAGTGGTTCTTAAACTTTTTTTCACCAAGTACCACCTCCAAAAAAAAGAAAAGTTTCTCCAAGTACCACCATAATGAGCAGTATTGAAATTCATAGCGTGGTAGGCCCAGCAAAGCAACTACAGCTCTGCACAGTTCAATACATGGCGGATTAATTCCTATTATTAAAAACATTTATTATGCAGCCACTTTAAAGATTATAAATCGTTTGAACATTAACAATGTGCTTTTTAAAAGTTAATTAACAATGGTAGGCTACTGGTTTTACAAAGTAGATATAAAAAATTCCTGTACTAAAATATAAAGTATTAACATAAGTATCCGATTCGTCAAAACCTGTAAATGTTTCTTTATAAATATAATAAGCTATATTGTCATATTGGTATGAACCATTTTTGATAAAATGTGAAATATGTACATATGACATTTGATTCCTCTGCGTACCACTAGAAGGAAGCCTGCATACCACTAATGAGTTTAAGAACCACTGTTATAGATGATGAGCACAAATCTGAAAGCATCTGTTGATCTGTCACAATTTACTCATTTATAAAAAAATTTATGGGTTTCTTCATCACAAAATAAGCCCTTAACCATGTAAATGAATCAAACACCAAAAGCAGATTTAAAACATCAGAATCTGCAGAACAAGGATCAGCACTGACCTTTCCAAGAACAAGACGACTGCAGCAGGCTTGAACTGAAGGGCTGATTAATATTATTAAGCGTTTCTAATTCAAAAACCTATTTGTTTAGGGTTAGTGATTCAGATCTCTTTTAATGTTTACAAAGTAATGAACAATTATTTACAGACTTACTAATTTGCATCAATGAATTAAAACAAAGCAGAAAAACTGCAATGAATAATTCCTGATATAAGGATCCATTTACTAATTATTTATCAGATTTACCATTGTTTTATTTATTGAGAAAAATCTATGAAATGCAAATTTTACTCATGCAAAAAATATATATAACAGACAATGGATTGTCAAGTTATGAATTCCTAATAGTGAAGGTAACTGTAATGCTATTGTAAGTGAATGATTAGCACAGGTTATTATTATTATTATTAGTATTATTATTATTATTATTATAGCATTAGTTCACTTCTATAAAAGTGAGTTTTCCTCCACTAGAGGTCGCTGTGATGATCAGATTCTCCACAGCGACCTAAATCTAAAGCCTGGTTTATACTTCTGCGTGAAGTGACCGCCGCAACTCACGGCGCAGGCAACGCGCGCAACTGTGCATTTATACTTCTGCGCACTGTCTCCGTTGGTCTGCATTAACACTTCCGAAACGCTAGTGGGCAGTGAGGTGTAAATGTTCCTCTGTGTCGAGTTTCTTCGCTTCTGTTTTGCTATTCTGAACACTTCCTGGATGTACAAGTGACTCAAACTCGCTCATTTTGTGGCAGGAACCGGCGGACGCGCAACAACTTTAACTATGAGGTAAACACAAAACAAAACTTTCCATCCGGAACTCCTTCACGGGACTCCACACTTGTAAACAATCGCTCGCGGCATTCGCGCGGCTCTCGGTCCCGCCCAGACTCGTCGGCGCTAGCAAGCCGACCAATCACAGAGCTTGCGCTACGCGTTGTTGCGACGTGTAGTTACATTTTTTGAGAGGTGCACGTCAGTGACGGCGATGGCCACGGCGAAGGGCTATGCGTCAGCGCCGTAGCCTACGCCGGTGTTTGACACAGAAGTATAAATCAACCTTAAGCTACTGGGAGGCTGAGGCTGCGGATCACTTGAGCTCAGGGCTTCTGGACTGCAGTGGACTATGTCGATCGGGTGTCCGCACTATGTTCGGTATCGATATGGTGCTCCTGGAGGAGCTTGGGACCACCAGGTCGTTTAAAGAGGAGTGAACCGGCCCAGGTCGGAAACGGAGCAGGTCAAATCCCCCGTGCAGATCAGTAGTGGGATCGCGCCTGAGAATAGACATTGCAGTGCAGCCTGAGCGACACAGAGAGACGCAGACTTTTACACTAGTTTTTATTTATTTATTTTTTACTTTGATTTGCCTAACAGTAAAACTGAAGAAATAAAGATTTAGAGATGTATGATGACCATGCATTAAGTAATAATTAAAAGTTTCCTTGAAGACTTCAGAACGTTTATTTGTAAACAAAAATACAGAAATCATCTCAAATTCATGTGTATATTTTAAAAATGTGTAGACAGAAATATATTTTACTGTGGTTACTCATAAGTGTGGTTGACCAATATCAGCTGGTATTTAAAAAAATATAGAATAATTTTACTTTAAACATAAACGGCACATTAGAACTCTTGACCCCATCAGAAATTAGAAATTAATAACTTATAAACAGTAAAGCAACAGGGTTAGATAATATTCCAGTGCAGTTCCCTCAAAGGCTCCTTAAATGCGTCACTCCGGTGGTTACACATATTATAAATCTTTCTATTTGTGAAGGTAAAGTTGAAAAAAGCAAGAGTTATTCTTATTTTTAGGAAAGGTAGTAGGTTTGAGGTTAGTAATTCTAGGCTGGTATCAATTTTGAGTGCTTTGTCAGATTGATTAGCAGATTAGCAGAAAATATTGTTTAAAAAACGACGTATTGTAGAGTTTCAGTCGGGTTTTAGGAAAATCATTCCACTGATTCAACAGTTTCTTTTATTTAACAAATTATATAAAGAGCGATATGGATAAAGGAAGTTAAGTGGGATGGTTTTCTTAGACCTGCAAAAAGCTTTCAATACAGTCGATCACAGGATATTGATTTTAAAAGTAAAGGCAATTGGTTTTGGTGTTTTGGCCTGTAAATGCATGAAGTCTTACCTCGAAAACAGATGTCAAATAGTAGATTTAAATGGTGTGTTTTCAGATTATTCGACCGTTTCTTATGGGGTTTCACAAGGCAGTGTTTTAGGTCCTTTGCTTTTTTAATATACATCAATGATTTGAAAATGGCCCGTTCAAAAAAGCTTTTGTTATTTGCGGATGATGCAGCAATAATTGTGTCTCATGAGAGGAAGGAATTTATTGAAAATGAAATAAGTAAACAAACTGAGGAAGTCTCTTAATGGTTTAACCTTATTAAATTGTCCTTACACTTGTGTAAACCAGAATTTATTTTATTTGGTTCAGCTGCGAAACTGAGAAAATGTGTCAGATCAGAGGTAAAAGTAGAGCATCAAATTAATGAACACAAACATGAAGGGAAATATTTAGGTTGCATTTCAGACAGTAATTTGACAGGTGAGAAGATGGCTGTTATAGTCCATTCAAAAGTTCTAAAATTAAGTTTTTAGCAAGACAGACAGAGCTCTTAGATTTCCAAACTTTACAAATATTGGCTAGTGCATTAGTGCAGTCATACTTTGACTATGCTGCAGTCTTTTGGTACAGCAGTAGTTCCACAAAAATGAAAAATAAATTGCAGACGGCCCAAAATAAGTTGCAGAATTGTTATCAAAGTACTTCCACTGACACATTTAATTAATGAATATTATAGTCAAATTAATTTATTAAAAGTTGGAAAAAGGGTCACTTTTCTGAAATTGGTGATGGTGTTTAAGATTTTAAAGAAAATGGTCCCAAAATATTTACTTATCAAGTTTTAGTTAGTGAGGTACACTGTCATTCTACAAGAGCGAGTAGCAGGGGTATTTGTCCTTGTAGAATTAATAGTGAAACAGGTAGAAAGTCTTTTCTGTGTACTGTTGCTTGGAATATACTGCCGAGGAGTTTTAAAGAGATTCAATTTGAGAGTTTTTAGAGAGGAAATTAAAAAATGGCTGTTTTACGGTTGAAGTTGAGGATTTTTGTTGTGCTGAGTTTCTGAGCTGATGATGTTTGCACTTTATGATTTGCTCGTTCATTTTTTAAGAATATCGATGACCACGATGGAAATCAGCCTGTGGCTTTATTGTGTATTTTATCCTCAACAGTTTTTAAGATATGAATGTCAAACTGGACTTGTTTGTATATTTTTGTTAAAATTGTTAAATAAAATCAATCAATCAATTTATTCATTCATTTTCATTTAGCTTAGTCCCTTTATTTATCTGGGGTCGCCACAGCGGAATGAACTGCCAACTTATCCAGCATATGTTTTACACAACAGATACCCTTCCAGCTGCAACCCAGTACTGGGAAATATTCAGACACCCTCATTCACACACACACACACACACATACACTATGGCTAATTTAGTTTATTCATTTACCTACAGTGGAGCACCCAGAGGAAACCCAAATGAACACAGAGAGAACATGCAAACTCCATACAGAAATGCCATCTGACCCAGTCGGGACTCCCACCAGCAGCCTTCCTTCCATCAGCGTTTTATTTTTTTCAGATTAACATTTAATAGACTTTAACTAAAAGTTTTACACTGGTTCTCCCGCAGCATGTTTGTTCATCATTTCTATCTTAATGTGTTGATCATTTTCTGTTGTGTTTCTGTATTGTGTGAAGGTCAACCAGTCCACAGTTTATGCTGCTATAATCTTTATTCAGTTTTATTCATAAACTATGTACAATATATACACTGTGCTCACGTCGGCTCCAGGTCTCTTGGGTGAAGGTCTCTCAGTGCCGTGGTCTCTTCTGGTCGCCGTGCGTCTCTGGTGGAGATGGGGAGCGGGAACGTTTCCCTCTGGCGTCCTGGACTGAAGATGCTGCACCAGCTGAGGAAGCGGAGGACAGCGGCTTGGTCTGGCAGAAGGAAGGCCTCTTTTTCTTCTCAGCAGCATAGGCCTCACTGAACAGATCGAGCGCAAACACACACAAGCAGACATAATGTGAGATTTTCACAAACACTAGAACATGCTGCAATGCCAAGTACAGTTTACTCACGCGTCTATGATGGGAATGACGTATTTGCCGCTGCCGTCCATCATGACTCCCTTTCGGTTTGGGTCGTCCACCTCCAACAGGAAGCTGCGGGGAATCCCTGAGCTCCTCCTGATGCGCTTGTGCGAAGCAGAGCTGCTGCCCTGTGAATTCATGAGTGACAGTCAAACGACAGAGCAAACAATCTGACTGATGGAGACAAGAGCTCAAGTTCACAGCAACCATAAGCTTAGAAAACCCAGTTACCCCTTTAGAGGGGCAGTGCCTAATGTGGTGTCCTGGGATCCCACAGTGAAAGCAGACATAGTTGGGTGGAAGAAGCCCAAGCAGTGTCATGGCCTCACTGATGAACATCAGAACCATGAGAATCAGCTCTATCATTTCTCACAAACCAAACCTGTCAGTGTCTGAACGCTCACCTGCTGGAGTAGTAGCACAGACTGGACTGGTACATCACCGCTTTTAGCTTGTCCTCCTCTGATGCCTTTGCCTCAGCCAAATTCTCAGTCTGTTTCACAGGCATTTGCATATTAAAATTTTATTTTACTGGTCTGCCTAAGAAGCTGTGTGTGTGTGGGGGGGGGGGTTTACACAGTGTATTGATATTCTGCACTACATGTCATTATGACTCCTCAAATGCAAACACTGCAGTTCAATACAGAGCAGCACAGTGGGGTGAATTAATCATTTGTTCAATACCTTCAACAGCTGCTCCAGTGAGAGGAGTGAAGAATCACCTGTTTGAGAAGATTTAGCTGATGGTCCAGCTTGATGTCTGCAAAACAAAGGAGCTTGTGTGACTAAAACACCACAGACAGACTCAAACTCTTGATATAACATCTATCAGAGGATGGTTGCGCTCATTTCACATGACTTACCCAACAAATCTTCTGTTGGAGGACTTCAGTCCAGCCGCAGGGACCCGTCTGATGATGACAGATGTGTTTTTGGGGATGAGAGCATCATCATCTGTGTATTCTGACAGCAAAATAAAGTTTGAATATAGTAATAATCATTTACCATGGTATACTTTGAGTGCCATTAGCATTTTAAAACACTCAAAACATCACTATATGTCACCATCAGAGTCATGATAACACATGTCAGCTTCTACAAGTCTGTCTGATAACACATCTAATGTTAGTGTAGTAACTGTTATAGTTTAAGTGGCTTTTCCTCATCTCACCTTCATCAGTTTGGGCTTTGCTGATCTTCAGCTGGCAGAACTTCAGCCTCTCGCGCCTCATGATCTGCCGCTTCAGCTCTCCCACAGTGATGTTGAGGCCCTCAAACTGGAGCGAGTCGTAGGTGAGTCGACTCTGAAACCTGTAATGAACACAAGACATACTAAACACAAAACACAGTGTGATAACAAGGGTCAAACCTGAATGAAGGGAGCAGCAGGCGATCAATCGATGTATCCAACAATCAATAATATCAATAATCTGGGAATCAGTTGCCACGAAGGACGCCGAGATCAGATGCCAATGACAGAGCAAGTTCAAAACAACACAAAAAGAACCGTTGCCATGGATGCTGACGATCACGTGACGAGGCGCTAAAAAACTTCCGCGTTATTTTCTCATCAATAATAGTGAAATCATTACTATGATAATAATAAAATAAACAGCAGAACAGTTGGCCATCTCTGAATAATACACAGTGGCGTTTCCCTACACGAATGATTCAGGACTCTGTATAAAGTCGGGCGAGTCACTGAATCAGTGATTCGTGGCTGAATGAATCACTTAAAGCTTCACTCGATTAAAGCGGTCTCTTGCTGCCACCTATTGGCGATTTGTTTTTCCGTTTTAAAGTTTTTTTTTATTTTTTGATGGTGCAATAGTTTTTTTATTTTTTATTAGATCTTATAAGAACATACAGAAAAAACAACAAATGACCGAACAAAGAAACATCTTATTCATCTAGAAAGTCCAAATAGCAGCATTCACACAAAAAACAGATAAAAAAACAAATAAATATATATTAAAAAAATTATAAAATTGAAATAAATACAAAGCAAAATACAATGCACTATAATACAAAGGGGTTAATCATCAAAAAATGCCTTTAACAGACTACACAGTTTAAGGGCTTTTTTATGTCTCATCAGCTTTAAGGAATTGAAGAAGACCATTAAATCCTTGTGGAAACGCAGAAAAGTGGGGGGGTTATTAAAAAAACTGCATTTATGAATGAAATAGTTTGCCAAAGTCACAATATTGTTAACCAAAAATTCCAGCTCAGAATTCTGACAAAAAGATCAATATTTTACAGTTTTAAAATCAAAATCAGGTATTACATATTTTAATCTTAACCAAACAGTAATGTCATCCCATAACTTTTTTGAAAATTTGCATAAATAAAACAAATGTTCCAATGACTCTATGTCTGCTTCACAAAAGGTACAAACGTTACAATCCAAATTAAATCTGTGTCTGAGGAACTCATTACAAGGATAAATATCGTTAAGAATTTTAAACTGAACTTCTTTTGCCTTTGGTAGAAGTGGAAAAGAGAGAAATCTTGTTCGAATTCGAACCACCTTGTCTTCTGAAAAATCTAAAACAAGGGGTCTTTTCTTAACTTTAGAAGGGAAAAGCTGTGTATTTACTAACCTTCTTAAGGTCTTATTATTACAGCTCTGCCCAGTAAAATTAATACCAGAAATAATAAGGTTGCCCAATCTTGGTATTACAGAAGAATAACCAAATTCCCCTTTGATTAGCTGAACCAAACCACCAGGAATAGCTTTCAACAAAGACAAATACAATTTCTAAGTACGAATAATATGGTATTTTTCACAAAAATCATCATAATTAAGGAAATTTCCAACCCCATCCAAAATTTGTAAAATAGACCAAACACCTTTGTCCATCCACTCTTGAAAAAACACAGATTTCCTCTTAATAAGTATATACTTATTATTTCACAAAGAACAGCTATGTGGCAAAAATTATGTTTGCATATTAACTTCCAATACTGTAATACCTGACTATGAAAAGATGACAATTTACACTTTAACTTTGATGGCTCAAAATCGCATCTTAACAGAAAGTCTATGCCCCCAAAGAAATCAAAAATTTTAGAAGAAAACCTAAACCAGAAAGAATGTTTATGTCGAAGGAAGGTTTGAAGCCACTTCAGCTTAAGGGTACCATTCATAACATCAAAATCAATTACATTCAATCCACCTTCAATGATTGGTTTCACTACATCTGAATTTCTTAGAAAATGATGCTTATTTTTCCATAGAAATTTATATTGCATTTGATTCAGATTTTTAACGTACCTATCAGAAATACGTAAAGAAAAAGCTGGGTAAATCATCCTGGAAAGTGCTTCTGACTTTTGTAAAACAATTCTACCAAAAATAGATAGATCCCTTTGAACCCACAAATTTAATATTTTTTGACTTTTTATCAAATTATCCATCAAATTTGCTTTTTCCCTATCTTTAGGGTCTTTAGAAATAACAACACCCAAGTATTTTACCTCATTTTTAACTGGAATATTGAACAGTTGTGTTTCGGTATGGTTATGGATTGCCATAAGCTCACATTTTTTTAAATTCAATTGCAGACCAGAAGCATTTGAAAAATGAGACACCAGATTAATGGCAACTGAAATCTGCTCTGCATTACTGAGAAACAGGGTGGTATCGTCTGCTAGTTGACTTATTATTAATTGACTCCCTAAAACATTCAAAGTTCTGATAGCTCTGCAATTTTTAACATACAATGCTAATTATTCAGCTACTAAAATAAATAAATATGGGCTTGTTGGATCCCCTTGTCTGATGCCTCTATTATTGTTAAACCTCTTCGAAGTCCCAAATGGTAATGATACTGAACTATTTATGTCTTTATATAACATTTCTATTACTTTAACAAATTTATGACCAAAACCAAAAAAATTCAAAATAAAATTATGTTCTAGAGTATCAAATGCCTTGTAGAAGTCAAGAAATAAAACAAACCCAACAAACCCTTTAATTAAATGTCCATAATCAATTAGATCTAAGACAAGTCTAATGTTGTTGTGAATTAGCCTTCCTTTAATAAAACCAGACTGAGTTTCACTTATAACTTGATTCAATCTAAATTTCAATCTATTAGCTATAGCAGATGTAAGAATTTTATAATCCACATTGAGTAGAGTAATCGGCCTCAAATTCTCAATAATTCTTTTATCTTTGTTTGCCTTTGGAATAAGAATAATTAATCCCTGTTTCATAGTTGTAAGTAAAGTATTAGAATTAAAACACTATTTTAATGCTGCAAATAACAAATGTTTTATATCCTCCCAAAAACATTTGTAGAAGTTAGTAGTCAAACCATCCTGACCAGGAGACTTACCCAAACACATTTTTTTAATAGCTGCTTTAAGTTCCTCTAGCTTCAAATCCTCATCACACATTTCTTTAAATTCAATATCTATCTGTGGGATATAATCTTTAACCTTTTCTAGAAATTGAATAGCATAATTTTCAGAATATGATGAAGAATAAATATTACTATAAAATGAATATATTTCCTCAGATATCAGTTTAGAATCCATAATTATTGTATCCTTAATAACTAAAGTATGAATTGCATTACTTTGCTGTCTCCTCTTTTCTAATTGACAAAAGTAAGCTGTGTTCTTCTCTCCTTCTTCCATCCATTTTGCCCGAGACCTTACAAAAGCTCCTTGTGCTTTCATTACATACATGCTGTCTAATTTAGCTTGAAGAGTGATTCACTTTTCCACATCTTTAACCTTATCGTGTGTTACAGCAATCATTAATTTCCTGAATTATTCTTAATTCTTTTTGCAATATATCGCTTCTCTTTTGTTTACCAAACCGAATAGAAATTTCCCTCGTTTTAAATTTAAAGTACTCCCATTTAATCCCACTGGAATTTAAAGAGAAATCATTCTCAACCTCACTAATTAGGTTTTTTAATTTGACTACAATAAACTTTATCCTTTAAAAGTTCTGCATTGAACTTCCAATAGTCTTTCTTAGTAGTATTTTTTCTTACTGGTGTCAAAGTTAATGTGATCTGTCAATGGTGCAGCAGAAATTAAAACCTGGTTCGCAAGCTCCAGATATTCCTCAGTTATGAGCCAAAAATCTATTCGTGACCTAGATGACCCA